TCTTCAATTTAAAATAATAGTGAATGGCCGAAACCGGTTTGGCTCAGTGGATAGAGCGTCAGCCTGGGGACTGAAAGGTCCCAGGTTCGATTCCGGTCAAGGGCATGTACCTTGGTTTCAGGCACATCCCCAGTACGGGGTGTGCAGAAGGCAGCTGATCGATGTTTCTCTCTCATCGATGTTTCTAACTCTCTATCCCTCTCTCTTCCTCTCTGTAAAAAATCAATAAAATATATTTAAAAAAATAATAGTTAGTGAATGTTAATGTTTAAGAGCTGTCAGTTACCCAGAGGGGTCCCAGACCATGTCATTTGGGCATCTTGTTAAGGGCAGATGCTGGTTCAGTGGGTCTTGGGTAGGGCCTGAGAGTCTATGCTTTTTGGTCAATACTAACCCGAGGATATTTTTTCCATTGATTTTTACAGAGACTGGAGGAGAGGTAGAAGCCAGTGAGAGGGTGAGAAGGTGGAAGAGGGAGAGAGGGATGCCGGGAGGGAGGGGGAAAGGGAAGAAAGGAAGGAAAGAAGGAGGGAGGGAGGGAGAGAGAGAGAGACATCGATTGCTTCTCGCATGCACCCTGACCAGGGCCTGGGATCGAACCTGCAACTCCAGTACGTACCCTTGACTGGGAATTGAAATCACAACCCTTCAGTGTGCAGGCTGACACTTTAACCACTGAGCACACTGGCCATGGCTAGGGCTAGAGATTCTGCATTTTGAAAAATATTTTTTAGTGACTTTAGAGAGAGAAAGGGAGAGGGATAAAGAGAAACAATGACGAGAGAGAAAACTATTGGCTGCTTCCTGCACACCCCCTCACTGAAGATAGAGCCCACAACTCGGACATGTGCCCTAATGGGGAATTGAACCGTGACCTCCTGGTTCATGGGCTGATGCTCAACCACTGAGCCACACCGGCTGGGCATGAGTCTGCATTTTTAGTAAGTTCCAAGGGATGCCAGTGTTGTAGGTCAGCAGGCCACACTCTGAGTAAGTCACAAGGCTTTAGAATATTCTAAATATAGTTGGTCAACTAACCAGAGTGACAACCCTCTGTAAATAAGTATTGCTCTGAAAATAGATCATGGAAGTAGGTAACTGCAATAAGATCTCTCTTTTTTTTCTACACACAACTATACAATTGTGTATTTTTTTTCTAAAAATATATATTTTTATTGATTTTTTACAAAGAGGAAGAGAGAGGGACAGAGAGTTAGAAACATCAATGTGAGAGAACCATCGATCAGCTGCCTCCTGCACACCCCCTACTGGGGATGTGCAGGCAACCAAGGCACATGCCCTTGACCAGAATCGAACCTGGGACCTTTCGGTCCACAGGCTGATGCTCTATCCACTAAGCCAAACCGGTTTTGGCAACACACAACTATACAACTGTTCTCGCATCATTTGAACTGTCTTGGCACCTTTGATGAAAATCAATTCGTCATCTATGGGTAGGTCTATTTCTGAATTCTCTATTCCCTCTCATTGATCTACATGTCTATATGTTATCACTACACTGCTGGGATTACTGTGGCTTTTTAAGTCTTAAAATCAGGTAGTGTAAATTTTCTAACTTTCCCTTCTCCAAAGTTTGTTAGGCTACTCTATACTCTTTCACTTGTCTTTGCTTATTTTTGGTGAACACATGAAAGATAAGGAAATGAAACTAGAAATGGCAACAAAAACAAGAGAAAAGCTGGAACAACAACCACCTGTGAAACGCACCTCCTTCATAAATGAACTTAGATTAAACATCTGAGTGGACTAAAATTGACTTCTTTCTTTCATATCCTATCTAGTAAAGAGAGAATATGCTAATTGACCCTCACGCATTGCAAAGATGGCAGTGCCCACAGCCAATCAAGAGACAATATGCCAATTGCTGCCATGCCTTCAAAGATGGCAGCACCCACAGCCAATCAGGAGGGAATATGCTAATTGACTGCCATGCCCTCAAAAATGGCGGCATCCACAGCCACAAGATGGCAGTGCCAAGTCCCTTCAGCCTCCTAGCCACCCTGGGCTGTTCCGAGGTGCAGGCAAGTCTTGGATGGTGGCTGCTCAGCTTCCCAGGGCTGCTTGAGGCTCAGGTAACCAGAGCCAGCTGAGGCTTGCACTGCCGGCAGTGGCAGCAGCAGAGGTGTGAAGGGGCGTCACCTTCTCCTAATTGCCGGGTAGCCTCCTGCCCGTGAGAGCTGCTGGACTGAGAGAAGGGGCAGGCTGGGCTGAGGGACACCCCCTCCAACGTATGAGTTTTCATGCACCGGGCCTCTAGTTAAGAAATAAGTCAACTTAGGAAGTTGTGCCACTTTGCTAAAGACACAATTTCTACATTCAAAGAGCAAAGGAGTTGAGTAAACTTACAGTGAGAAAAATTCCACTTCTATCAATCATTAATCCAAGTGTTACCAGAGTTTGTTTTGAAGCTGAACTGAAGGGAAACAGGAACCCTAAACTGTGCTCTCCAAACTGAGTATGCCATCGTCATTTAAAACCCGTATAGCCGAAACCGGTTTGGCTCAGTGGTAGAGCGTCGGTCTGCGGACTGAAAGGTCCCAGGTTCGATTCCAGTCAAGGGCATGTACCTTGGTTGCGGGCACATCCCCGGTAGGGGGTGTGCAAGAGGCAGCTGGTCGATGTTTCTCTCTCATCGACGTTTCTAGCTCTCTATCCCCCTCTCTTCCTCTCTGTAAAAAATCAATAAAAATATATATTTAAATCCTGTATAATGTTTAGTGAAAAACTCAAGCTGAATGATGTGATTGCATTTTTACAATAAGAACAAAAATGTTTAAAAATATATCTGTGTGGTCCTGACCGGTTTGGCTCAGTATATAGGGCGTCGGCCTTCGGACTGAAAGGTCCCAGGTTCGATTCCTGTCAAGGGCATGTACCTTGGATGAGTGCACATCCCCAGTAGGAGGTATGCAGGAAGCAGCTGATGGATGTTTCTCTCTCAGTGATGTTTCTAACTCTCTATCCCTCTCTCTTCATCTCTGTAAAAAAAAAAAAGCAATAAGCTATATATTTTTTAAAAAATATCTGAATGTGTATTAAAAAATAAATATATGTGTGTATATGTATGTATATATATATATATATATATATATATATATATATATATATATATAAAATTGATTTTTTACAGAGAGGAAGAGAGAGGGATATAGAGTTAGGAACATCGATGAGAGAGAAACATCGGTCAGTTGCCTCTTGCACACCCCCTACTGGGGTGTGCCCGCAACCAAGGTACATGCCCTTGACCAGAATTGAACCTGGGACCTTTCAGTCCACAGGCCGATGCTCTATCCACTGAGCCAAACTGGTTTCGGCATGTGTGTGTATTTTTATGGGAAAAATGTGAAGGGGTGATGGGAGCGGGCTAGAAGAGGTTAATGGAAGAAAAGGAGGACCTATGTAATACTTTCAACAATAAAGATTAAAAAAAAGAAAGAAAGAAAAACATGAAGGCTACAAAGCAAACTGTTAACATTAATCATCAGGCGAGTGAAAGTTGCAGTACAGAGGAGCCATAAAGGCACATTTCCCCTTTTTGAAAAAACAACTATGCTATATCCTTTTTAAAAACAGTGATTTTGTAATTTGAATAAAAACTGAAGTTGTTATACAGCATTTACAAGCTTTAATGTACACACAGTGCTTTCCAGTCACGGCGTCCAACGTTCTCATGCGCTCCAGCCTGGGGACAGTAGGGGCCTCCAGGAGCTGACCCAGGAGAATTGCAGTTCCTGGAAAGGCCCCATTATGTAACCTCAGAAAAGCAGCAACTGATGCTGTTTTCTAGGGCCAACTCTAAGCTAATTCTGTAGATAAATGTGGTATGCACATAAAGTAAACGTCCACTTTTGTGTTGGAAGTCCTCCTATATACTGTACATGAAAAATAGTAATGTTTCTGAAACACCATGTTCCATATGAAAACACATAATCCATTTGATACATTTCTGAAACGGACTTAAATTTTCTCCGACAGTGCCTGAGAACAGAGAAAAGCAGTCTCTTTTCCTCTTCTAATATTCTTGGGAGAAGAAATGGTACACATGTTGGAGCTGATCAGAAACTGCCAGGCTGTGTGGTCTTCTATCCTTAATTTATGCCTTTACTGATTACTTCAGGTGGCCCACACTTTTCATGTAAAATACTTCCAGAAGGCAATAGGAAAAGGACCTTTTTTTTTAAAAAAAATATATTTTATTGATTTTGTACAGAGAGGAAGGAAGAGAGACAGAGAGTTAGAAACATCGATGAGAGAGAGAGTCATCAATCAGTTGCCTCTTGCACACCCCCTACTGGGGATATGCCCGCAACCAAGGTACATGCCCTTGACCGGAATCGAACCCAGGACCCTTCAGTCCGCAAGCCGACGCTCTATCCATTGAGCCAAACCGGTCTTGGTGAAAAGAACCTTTTTTTTTTTTTTTTTTTAAATAGGATACATCTTTTTAAAAAAATATATTTTATTGATTTTTTACAGAGAGGAAGGGAGAGAGATAGTTAGAAACATCAGTGAGAGTCACTGATCAGCTGCCTCTTGCACGCCCCCTATTGGGGATGTGCCCGCAACCACAGTACATGCCCTTGACGGGAATCGAACCCGGGACCCTTCAGTCTGCAGGCTGACGCTCTATCCACTGAGCCAAACCAGTTTTGGCAGGAAAAGAACCTTTGATTTATGGTTTATAAAAGGCTAAATATGAGTCCTAGCTGGTTTTTCTCAGTGGTTAGAGCGTCGGGTTGGATTCAGGTAAAGGGCAAGTACCTTCGTTGCAGGTTTGATCCCTGTGGGAGGCAACCAATCTATGTCTCTCTCACATTGATGTTTCTCTCTCTCTCTTCCTCCCTTCCATTCTCTCTAAAATCAATGGGGGAAAATATGCTCAGGTGAGGATTAACAACAACAACAATAAAAAGCTAAATATTAGAATGTTTATTTTTTAAAACTCAATTACAGCTATATAAGGGTCAACAGAATAAAACATACATCACTGGCAGGGGAGATACCATGATCAAGAAGGCAGTTTTCCCAGGGTAAGCTTATCCATTGCACTCCGGATGTGCTGACACCTGGGACTACCCCAAATGTGGGGAACTTGACTGCATAATTTGGGGAGGCGGGGAGAAAAAAAGTATGGCCCATGGGCCCCAGCTGGTTTTGCTCAGTGGATAGAGCATTGGCCTGCAGACCAAAGAGTCCCGGGTTTGATTCTGGTCAAGGGCACAAACCTTGGTTGCAGGCTCCTCCCTGGCCCAGGCCCTGATTGGGGCTTGTGTAGGAGGCAACTATTGGATGTTTCTCTTTGTCTTTCCCTCTCTCTTCCACTCTCCCTAAAAAAATCAACGGGAAAATGTCCTCAAGTGAGGATTAAAAAAAAAAAAGTGTGATCCATGGGAGCTGGTGAGATTCAGGCCCCACTCCAGATCTACTGAATCAGAAACTGCATCTTTAACAAGATCCTCAGGTGATCCCTATGCTGCAGACAATTTTGGTGAATATTCATGAAACTTAAAAGTTAAGAACGCAGATTTTAAAAAAAAAGGATAAATATTTTAAAAGTTCATTTCCAATAGTCCAGCATGGCTTTTTCTAAATATGCTACCAGAATTGAAGAAACAACGATAAACTGCTATTAAGACAAAATTGAATCAAAGGTTATGAATAATTTTAAAGCACTGACCAATAGGTCACTTTAGTCCGTTACAGGGTTGGCAAAAGTAGGTTTACAGTTGTGAATATGCGAAACAGAGAATTTATTCTTTAAATTTTTTTTTTTTTAAATTTCCATGTCGGTGTGCCTCAGTGGTTGACGGTCAACCTGTGGACCTGGAGGTCATAGTTCGATTCCTGGTGAGGGCACATGCCCAAGTTGTGGGCTCGATCCTCAGTGGGGGGTATGCAGGAGGCAGCTGATCAATGATTCTCACTCCCTCTCCCTTCCTCTCTGAAATCAATAAAAATACATCTTATTGATTATATTTAAAATATGTATATTTATTGACTATATTTAAAAGGTGTTTTATTGATTATTAATTATTATAGTTATTATTAACCTACCCCTGTCTTAACAAACCAAAAATTTAATATTAAGAATAATGGTGTATATTTTCTAGAGCCTTATATAAGTAATCATTCCAAATATTTTTTAGCTAATAACCAGACACACTTTGAAACATATGCTTAAGAAAATACTAACTGCATGCTGGGATGTTTAATGGTGAAATAATAGTCTGTATAGTTAAGTGCAATCCAGATACTATTGATATTAAGATGTGTAAGAAGCTAAATAACAAAATATACAGTGTGAAACATTACCTTACTTGCCAGCTTTAACGTATTTCTTCCGCTGAAATACTTGTAGCCATGGCCTCCAGTATGTAGAAAAATTTTATACACAATAAAAGGTGGAAATTTTTCACCACTGAATCTGAAATAAAGACCAAAAATGTGTCATTTGGAATCAGGTTTGGGAGTCAGTTATGGCTCCCCCTTGTGGTTAAGATAGTTTCCTGCATGTAGGATAAAGGCTATACCAGAGCTAGAACAAACTGGTAATAAAATGGATTACAGGAGATTAAAGAGCCACACCTAGGAGGTGTGTATGCTCACAACTATTCTCATATCTGGCAGGCTGGGCACATCATGGGACACGAGCTACTCTCAAGGCAACTTTGGCTCAAGAACCATGCCTCAGTTTCTTTTCACAATAAATGTAAATAAAAACCTATTTACTTTGCAGTTATATACTGAGAAGGTATGAGGGCTTAAAACACATTTCTACAGTAAAATGTCTTCATATTCGCTCAGCACTTCTTGAAAGAAATCAGCACAGAAACATTACCTGAATTTAATTTTACAGTTCATGCCACGATCTTTAGCAAACTCAGCCTCCAAGGGGCTCACATTCTTCAGTATATCATATGTCAGACAATATTCCTGAAATAGACGATGGTGCTATAAATGGAAGGTGGTACCTTGCCCAGTTGCAATTTACTGAAAATAACAGGCGGCATGATAAAGCGAACGGTAGACCAGACTCGGGAGTTCTGAAGAACTGGGCTCTAGAGTTGGCTTCTCCATTTATCATCCGGGTGGCCTGGAGTTAGTGATTCACTCTTTTGGCCTCCAAGTTTGGGGGTGTTCCTCCTCAAGATCCCAGGCACTGTTCTTTCCCTATGCTAGCCCTTCTCACAATGTACTGTAATGAACTACAAACTCCTTTTTTAGCTTCTACTAGACCCGTGGTCAGCAAACTGCGGCTCGCGAGCCACATGCAGCTCTTTGGCCCCTTGAATGTGGCTCTTCCAAAATGTGTCTGGGAGGGTCTATTTTGAAGAAGTGGCGTTAGGAGAAGTTTAAGTTTAGAAAATGTGGCTCTCAAAAGAAATTTCAATCGTTGTACTGTTGATATTTGGCTCTGTTGACTAATGAGTTTGCCAACCATTTACTAGACTGTACAAGCTTAATGAAGGTAGGGGCAGTGTCCTTTTTCTTTATCACTGTATTCCCACCACCTGGAACACAGCAGGTGCTTCAAAATATTTGATATTGAATGAATCACTGTAAATGAGGATGATCATAGTACTGTTACTAGCTTTTAAGCACTTTCATATTCCACATACTACATTAGGTACCTTATACACATAACCTCATCTAATCCTTACAACTCAGCAATATTATTTGAATCCTAGAGTCCTGTTGCAGGAAGATTCCTGCAATTGGGCTTCCTGCTGAGGTCGCTGCCCCGCCTGCTTCCCTCCCTTCTCCCCGCCCTGCTTGCTTGCTTCTCTGCAGCTTCACTCCCTTCTGCAGCGCTGTCTTCAGTCTTCACTCTGGCCTGGATATGCAAATTAACCACCACCTTGATTGAGTTAATTTGCATGTTCACCCTGATTGGCTGGTGGGTGTGGCAAAGGTGTGGTCAATTTGCATGCTTCTCTTTTATTAGGTAGGATTATCATTCCCATTTTACAAATGAGCAGGCTGAGGCACTGGGAGTGTCTGTAACTTATCCAAAGGCATACAGGTAGTAAGTGGGGAAGCCAGGATTCAAGCTTCAACCTGTTTGACTTTAAAGCCCCCACTTCTCCCCATATGACCCTGTCCAACATTTATGCCTATGCCAATCACATACAAATATATGCCAAAGGGATTTAAAAATGACAAAGCATTTTTAATGTAAGGTATTAACTTGAAGTATTAGGATAACACGAAAAAAAAATGAATTTCCTTCTTTCTGTCACTAAAAGAATCTAAAATGATAACGAAACCAGAATAATCATACTTAAATACAAGTTCCATATGTGAAGATGATGGACAATGAACCTGCAATGTCACAAGTTGACCTGGGTGGGTTTTCTCTGAATTATTCTGCGGTCACTGACATCACAACCATGTCTGTGGAGTCAGATGGTGAACAGGTGTATACAGTGCTGAGACTTTGTGATTTTTTTCAAAGGGGCTAAAATTCCCTTAATATGACTATCTATAATAATAAAAGTGTAATATGCTAATTAGACTGGACAACCTTCCCGAAGAAGCTGGGTCCTGGGTGCCTGCCGGGGGGGGGGGGGGGGAGGGGGTGGAGGGAGGCCCGGGTCCCAGTTGCCAGCGGGAAGCCGGTGCCTGCAGCCAGGGGAAGGCAGGCCTACTCTTGCACGAATTTCATGCATCGTGCCTCTAGTTACTAATAATAGACTACTGTAATCATGGGTGATTTTATTAGGAAAGTATTTGGTACTGTGTGATGGAAATTCTACTACTCCGCTTGGGTTGACAGAGTTGTTCAATGCATTTCATTTTACTCAAATAGGACTTTATTATTTATACTGTTCTGCACTTGCCTTTTTTATTAGCACAATATCTTAGCTATCTTTCCACTGCAGAATTACATGCAAGGCTTTGAGGTTTAACACTATGAAAGCACCAACACTTACTTTACTTAACCATATAATTGATGAACATTACATGGTTTTCCTTCCTTGCTATTACAAATAAGACTGCAGTGAAACGGTACATAGATTACAGAACAGTCCTAGAAGTGAAATTGCTAGGTGGAAGGTAAGGGCACTTCTTTCCTTTTTATTGTTAATTCTCACTGAGGATATTTCCATTAACTTTTAGAGAGAGTGAGGGAGGGAAGGGGAGAAATAGGAGGGGAGGGTGGGAGGGAGAGAGAGAAATCTTAATGTGAGAGAGACACATTGATTGGTTGCCTCCCACATGCACCTGGACTAGGGTTGGGGATCTAACCTGCAACCCAGGCACATGCCCTTGACTGGGAATCAAACCCGAAACCCTTGGTGATGCTGAAATCACTGGCCAGGGTGAAAAGGGCATTTTTAATTGAGATTTTTATTGTTGGGCGATCACTGTCTCTCATCTTCAAATAAACTGAATTTAAAAATATTATGTGGCCGAAACCAGTTTGGCTCAGTGGATAGAGCGTCTGTCTGTGGACAGAAAGGTCCCAGGTTCAATTCCGGTCAAGGGCATGTACCTTGGTTGCGGGCACATCCCCAGTAGGGGTTGTGCAAGAGGCAGCTGATCGATGATTCTCTCATCGATGTTTCTAACTCTCTGTCCCTCTCTCTTTTTCTCTGTAAAAAATCAATAAAATATATTAAAAAATATGTGGGTTTATGTAATAAAAGGCTAACATGCAAGAAATAATAGTCACTTATGTTAAAATAAGTCCAGAAATATTCATTTAGCGCGTATCAAAGAAGCAATCTCAGAACCCTTAATATTAGATTTAAATAGGAGGGAAAAAGTTACATATTTTATCCTTAGTTAACAGATACTTTAGCTTGATAAGTAATTAAATCTGTCAGAGAAAACAGAAAGCAAGATACATACTGCTGCACAAATTATATGCTTTAGGAGTTGAAATATTGACCTGTCCATATAAGATAGCCAAGCTCTTTGTATCTTTAGAGCTGAAATATCTTTACGAGATCTGAGAGGAAAAAAAAAAAGAGGTTAAGATTTGTGAAGTTGTTTTCATTTTCCTAAAATCTTGGGGAACTCTGAATTAATGCTCCCTCTTTTCGGCACCTCCCCACTCCCACCCTAAAACTGACCTAACAAGGAACAGTTAGATGTGGTTCTTGGAACTGGTTATTTGCTGAATCTACCGTGTTTCCCCGAAA